GTTGTTTGTTTGCCATAGGCCCAGGGAAGAATATGATGTGGGGAAAATCTAATCTGAATTCAGGATAGAATCTTGTATGAGAGAGAAATTTGTTACCCTTTCAGTTGAAATTTTCTGACTCCCAAGAGGTGTTCATAGGTTAGTTAATAACTTCTTGTCGAGGCCCACAAAAGACATTGTATTTTTAACAATGTGTTCATCCAAAAGAGAGATCCTGAACTTCACGAATACACCTACTGCAACTTCTGGTTATCTTTCATCACTTGTCTGAGTTTAAACAGATTATGGTTTGTGCTCTAAGGAAAGACTCCTTCCTGACACCTGAGGCTTTCCCATTTTTACCAGCTGGGCCCATTGCTAAAATGCTTTCCAGTGGGCTTGCTTTTGCCTGGCCAGCACCTGGGCTGCCCCAGCTTGTAATTAGCCTGCCTTTGCTTCATAAACTTCCCAGGGTGGTTCTTCTTCTAAAAGCTTGTATGAAATGCTGTTTACTGTTTCTTTAGAGTTTAAAAATTAATCCTTTTGTGTTCTTTGCAACTCATTTGCTTTTTTCTTTTCTTTAAATTACTATTAACACCTGTTGATTCTTTTTTTTTCTGATTGGCCTGTCACTGCATTCCTGCTCCCCCTCCCTCTAGCTGGGTTTGTCAAGTCGCCCATGTCAGAAACTAAGCTCACTGGGGACGCCTTTGAGCTGTACTGTGATGTGGTCGGGAGCCCCACGCCAGAGATCCAGTGGTGGTACGCAGAAGTCAACCGAGCAGAGTCTTTCAGACAGCTGTGGGACGGTGCACGGAAGCGCCGTGTCACCGTAAACACCGCCTACGGGTCAAACGGCGTGAGTGTGCTGAGAATAACCCGGCTCACCTTGGAGGACTCTGGGACTTACGAGTGCAGGGCCAGCAACGACCCCAAGAGGAATGACTTGAGGCAAAACCCCTCCATAACATGGATTCGAGCCCAGGCCACCATAAGCGTCCTTCAGAGTGAGTTCAGCACCCTACAGTAGTAGTACTGTAGTCATTAGAGGTGGCCCAATGATCCTTCCCTTCTGCTTCCTTTCCCTCTTCCCCAGTATTATCACTCACCCCACCCCTTGTCTTCGTTTTTTTCAGACCCATAATCCTACTAATTGTAGTGTATGAAAACATCTGTGGCAACCTTTTTTCCCCTTTACTGTCCTTTCTACCTCCCGTATTCCCCACCCCTTCTCTGTGTCTTTCTCCTCAGGAACAAAGAACTTGGGGAAATTGTGACTGTCCAAAATCATCTGCATTGGGAAGAGGTGGGGAGGAGGGAGTACTGGGGAGACTGAAAAACAAACAAAAAAACCCCACATAAAACTCACAAAACCAGGCAGTCAAACCAGCATAGTGTTGAATTGTTTCTTTTCTTCCCCTTTAATTTTATAGTAGGTTTCCTGCTATCCTTTTGCTGATTTCTTCTCTGGTGTCTTTCTATTTTTGTTTCTCTCTACAATCTAACTACTTTTTATTTCTTCTATTCATTTGTTTGAAGCTCTCTGGATAGCTGCCTTCCCCTCTATAGTTTTCAATTTATGTCTGCCCAGCCTTTTCCCTCACTGTGACTTGGTGTCATTTTGTTCTGTGATGGGAATGTCGCTATTGGTGCGGTGTCGGTGGTATGTTTTGGTTGTTGGATGGCATGTAAGTTTGGATATTTCCGTAGTTCCAGTTCTTTTTCTTTTCTAAAACAGTGGCATGCACTTCTTTGATAACAGCCTTCCACTATAGCAGTATGCTCCTCACTGGTCCTGCCCATCCAGTCCCCTGTTCTCTTAAAAGCAGCAGCCTAAGATTTCCTCCATATGTCTTGCTATGGAGTCAGGTGACTCTAAGCTGCAAGGTATTTAATTAAAACCCCATCACGCTGTTTTGAAATCACAGATGCATCTGATCCCTATTCACAAACATGTTGACTTTGATGACTGATTGTTGGCACTGTGCTCCTCATCTCAGAGGCTGGCTACCCAGAAATAGTTTGGAAGACAATCACACTAGCCTTTAATTGTGTCTTGAAAAAGAAAAGGAAACTAGAATCCAACCCTGTTCCTCTGAGTGATGAGGGTAAGCTGAGCTGCTGCCTCAGAATCATCCCCTGCATCTGTTGTAGCAAGTACAAGTAAGACATTAGACACAGGAGCTTTTGGGGCCATCTCTGTTTCTGAAAAGTGTCTTGCTACTTGTGTGGTGGGAAGGAGAGGAAGGGAGAAGCTACTACAGAGCCAGTACTCTCAACCAGGAAGACTTCTAGCTCTATATCTGACCTGATTATAATTGAGAGAACATGTTCTATTTAATGAAAAGATCCTCTGTGTTTTTTTCACCTTCTCTTCAAGGATTCAGTAGTAAGAGACCTATAACCAGTTCTGGCTTAAAGAACTGATTGATTTAGAGAGAGTAAAAATAAAATAGCAAGTTAGTCATCCTTTATAGTGATTAAGAAGATGCCTATGAAGAAAAGAGGCCTTGAGGAGAGAGAGGAGAGGCAACTGCAGTTGGCACTGTTGAATCAGAGAAACTGCTTCTGGAAAGGGGAAAAGAAAACCTTGTCTATGTGAAAATGGGGAACATTAACCCAATAATATTTTTTATTTAACATTTTTTCCCTTGCATGCCTCCTTCTCCTGCCCCCTTGCTCCTTTCCTTAAAACAGTAGAATTACCCAAATGGCCACAAAGATCTGCAGAAGTTTATAGGCATGGACTGGCATTTGCTATTTATATTGCCAGGAGCCTGACTCTAATAGACTCCCAGTTAAAAGGTTATGCCTTGGGGATAGAAGAAGAGGACTGCCAGTCTCGAGAGTACATAGCATTCCCCCAGTTTACTTGCAAGTAAGCTTCCTAAGTTTAGGGGTGTCTGCGCGAGGTTGAATGAAACCCTGGCTAGTTTGGTATTTCCTCAGACTTCCCTATCAGTCATTTAACTCTAGTTAACTGTTTTTAGAGAGCCAGACTGCTGCTGGTGCTTCTCCTCCTCCTCCTTTTTTATTTTTTTAAAGCACCCGGATTCCACTCTAATCAGATTGTTTTATGATCCCCAAGGACATTTGCCTCCTGTGGAAGGTTGAAGTCTTCTGCCTAAGAATGACCTCCTGGTAGTACTTTCCCCTAAAGCTCCTTGAGTAATGTAAGGCTGGAAGAGAAATGTGCCCAGTTTTTGAGATATCTCTCTGGCCACTGCATGTTCTACATATGAATGATGGCTAAGGTAAGGATCTCCTACTGCTTCTAAATAGGAATTTGTGGCAGGTAAAAAAATTTGTTATAAATGTTCATTTCTCTTGGACTTTTTGTAGGCATTGCTTGGTCACAGAAATAAAAGCCCCACCTCCATCCTGGTACAGAATGCAGATGTGGCTTTGTGCCCAAAGAGGATGGTCTAGCACTGGTTTCCATATACAGCAGTCATGGGAGACAGGTTACCCCACCTCACTACCTTTCTAATGTGCAGAATCATATTTAAACCTATTTACATTATTCACTTGCTCCCAGCTGATTCTCTCCTGGATCTTTAACACTTAGGGGAAAAGTGCTTTCCTTTGTCTTCTAAGAATTCTTGGCAGAAAGTCTACCAGGTTGCTTTTATCAACTTCTTAATAACCCTGAGCTGTAATGGTCATTTGCATCACCACAGGTAAGAGTAGCATTTACTTTGGCTTCCTTGTATTTAAACATCTGGAAGCTCTTGGCCTCATTCTCAGAGTTTGCCCTTTCTCAGTGTAGTCTGAGAGGAAGAACCAGAAGGAGAGCCCCAAATGGGATTGAAAATGATAATAAAAATTAGGCAAAAACCTAAAAGTGTGTTTTGAGTTTTAATGTTACCTTTATATTTTTTAATTTCTGTGGAGTATTGGTTATCTCTCTTTTGTTTTTGCTTGGTTTTGATTTTTCTTGGAGTTATGATGCTTTTTGTTGATGATGTGTGTGCGCCTTCCATTGCAGGGTTTGTAACCGTTCTGCTCGACTTAAGACCCAGGGATTTGGCTACTGTCGGTGTGTTTTGGAAACCATGGGACACCACTGCGCTAACATGTTTACATGCATCTGCTTCTGTGTTAGTGGCTGCTATGCCTCCATTATCTGTACATAGAGACCCTGTTTGATGTTACCAATAAGGACCAGTGCTGACTGGAAGATAACCACTATCCTTTTGCCAGAGTTGGAAAATAGTGAGAACCAATTTAATTGAGCAAACTTAAGGATTTGCTTTATTTATCACATTTTTTTTGACGACCTGACCTATACAGTCAGAAATGTTACATTATAAGGTGTCCTTGGGCATTACAATGTTCAAGTGTCCCATGACCTCTTTATTCCCTTCCTCTCCCCACATAATGAGCACAGCTTAGTTCCAGTGGAGGGAGAGAGTTCTGTCCTCTAGAGTTAACCTCAGCATTACATTGCATAAAGTGGTGTCAGGGAGCTGCTACAAAGTTGTAGACAGGATGTAGCCAGGTACAGGGATATGGAAAGTCAGTCAAGGATTTCTGAAAAAGAATTGGGAAAAAAATAAAAAAGCAAATACCTAATTGTGGAATGGGAAAAGATGGCTAATTTAGACTTACCCTGAAAATGATTGACCAAAAATAGAAAAAGAACTAAGCCTGGGAAAAGAGTAAAGATAAATAACAACATCATCTTGACTTTAATACAGTGATGGAATTCCAAGTGCTTTAAGGATGAACCTTCCAGGAATGATATAGTGTGCCTCAAAAATTTTCTGGTCATTGTCCTATAACATTTGACTTAGGTTATTTTTGTAGATGTTAAAACTAGTGATCCCTGGTTATTTTAGCCCAGGATAGAACCAGAGGATAAAGTATATAACTTGCTTTGGGTGGAAGGTATGTAGGGTGTTTCGGGTTGCGGGGCAGGGATAGAGAATTGAGCCAGATGTGTTTTAATAGGCCGGGCTTTGCCACTAACAGTAATAATGGCCTTGCACAGTCATTTTACCTTTCTAGCTCTTAAAGAGTGGGATTCAGTGAACTCTAAGGGCCTTTCTTCTAAAATTCCAGGAGCCCATAATACCAACATATACTGTATTCTAGTTACAATTATATTATCTCAGAATGGGATGTGTTTTAAAAGTACAGTTCTGAAAATAATTTTGTTTTAGGAATAAAATAAATATGGGCTGGAGAGAACTAATGGTTCCTTAAGAAGTTTCCCTCAGCAAAATTTGGAAAATGCTTTTAGGATCTACACTGCCTCCCCCCCCCCCCCCCCCCCCCGCCCCCCGGCCCATAATTAATGACCATGGCTGGTTTGCCATGGGCTTATCAGATTTACATGTAGGACAACCCATGTATGTATTACCTAGTTACTGCTATTCTGTTCAAGGTCCTAGTGACTCCATAGGGAGTTTATTAGTTATATAAATGATACTGTCTTTATCTTTAGAATTGTAAGGTGGAGACTGGGTTTCTATTTGAAGGGGAATTAATTGGTGGTTCTTATGTCATAAAATGGTGGTATTCAAAAGTGTAAATGGGTTGTTGCCAGTACAAGCACCCGTAATACTCCCATTCTTTTCACATCTAGGCCAACTGGTCTTCAGGCTGTTGTCTGCGCTAGTGGTCATTTGCTTATAATCATTGTTTTTCCTTTCTTGACTTCCTCCAAAGTTGGTAAAGTGAAATTCCTTATGTGGTCCTGTCTACCCTCCCTCTTTTTCTAGTCTCCCCATCCTACCCCGTCCAACTTTCAGGCCAGGGTCGCAGAAAATGGAAGGCTATGGCTCCCTATCATTGTGCACTCTTATTACAGAGCCAGATATTGTCACCAGTGGAGAAGTCATTATTCGAGACAGCCCTGCTCTCCCTGTCACCCTGCAGTGTAACCTCACCTCCAGCTCTCACATCCTTACATACAGCTACTGGACAAAGAATGGGGTGGAACTGACTGCCACTCGTAAGAATGCCAGCAACACGGAATACAGGTGAGAGGGGCTAGCGGCTTCTGAGAAGATGGGAAGGAGTGTGGCTGAGCTTACTTGATACTCATAATCTGTAATTATGCTATGTGAGAGAGACATGAGATATATATGGTCCTCCTCTGGAGAGTCTAATCCAATATAACTGAGGTGAGGCTCAGCAATCTCTAAGAGATTTTCAAATGATTCTATTGAGCCATAGATGATCCTGTCATTATGATAACAGATTGAAGGCATAGGGAGTGGTTTTACTCAGGGTCACAATGTTAGTCAATAGGAAAGTCACTATTAGAATGCAGGTCTCTTGACTTAATCCTGTAGTTTGAGGAATCAAATTGAAATCTGCTTTAGGACTCTTAGAGCAAGGCCACCCTAAGTGATCTTTCCACTGGGTAGATGATTTCCTAGTGAATTACCTTTTAGGAGTTTTTAACATAACCATAACCTGATCAGGACCAGTGGATACAGGGCTGTTTAGTGATCTGGAATAAGGATGGTAGCCTGGAAATAATCCTTTGATGAAAGGGAGATATTTGCTAATTGATGTTATCTGGCACCCAAAGATTTGGTGCTTTTTTGGAATATCTAGTAACACATGGCACCTCACCTTTCAGAATAGTTTGTTCCTGGTTAAAAGCTAATCTGGAAAAGAATCAACTAATCCTGCTGGCAGCATGATACAGTGCAAAGAAAGAGTACACTGCAGTGAGAACAGGAGAACCTGTGTATCCAGTAGTAGCAAGGCCATTCTGCAGTATTTTGCAGAATTGAGATCTTTTCATACCCCTTATTTAGTTGATCCACATTAATCATGGATCCTCCTCCTTTTTGGGGGTAATGAAACTAAGATTCAATAACTGTTGCTTGCTTTCAAGGCCAAATACTATATCTAAAAATTTTATTTTTGATTTTTACAATACCAAACATCCAGTCATGTTTCTCTTGGGTCTTGTGCTATGTCACCCAAAAAGCTTTAAATTGTAACGTCATAAAGTTTGAGCTTGACTTTATAAATGCATTTTCTCTTTTTTTTCTCAGCGTATTTAAAGCTCTCCAGAAGTGTTCTGCATTGTCAGCGTTTTTTTTTTGGAATCTGTGTTCTCCCACATTTTGTGGAATAACAACTGATGAGTCCCTTGGGCCACCCAATAAGTCAGCTCTGGAGCCAGTCTCAGATCTTGCTTCTGCTTAGTCCAGTGGTTCTCAACCTTCCTAATGCCGCGACCCTTTAATACAATTCCTCATGTTGTGGTGACCCCCAACCATAAAATTATTTTTGTTGCTACTTCATAACTGTAATGTTGCTACTGTTATGAATCGTAATGTAAATATCTGATATGCAGGATGGTCTTAGGCGACAAGGGTCGTTCGACCCCCAAAGGGGTCGCGACCCACAGGTTGAGAACCGCTGACTTAGTCAGTAGTGGACATTTTCCATTTGCCTCATTTGCTTCTCAGTAGCTAGTCATAGGGAATGTTGTGGGAAGATTTCCGCCCATAGGCATGACCTTATCTTCCCAAATCTTCTCAAGGAATTTAGAATAGTCTAAGCCCTGGAGATGGAGCTTCTGCTCCTCCTCCAAGTTCTGGGACATTTGCTCCAAGCAGGTTACTCCTGTCTGTTTTCCTGTTGGAAGAATATTGATTTAAGAAGAGGCACTTGTGTCAAATTGGGAAGGCTCTTGACTGCTCCTCTGAGACTATTATGTTACCATAGATATGCTGAGATAGTCGGGGGATGGGCAGTGTCTTTCCTCATCCATGGTCTCTTAACTCTTGTTTTTGGAATCAACAATAAGAGGATAAATGCATTGGGCTAGTCAGTGGTTGAGGTGAGGAGTTTTTCTGACATTTACTAGTGCAGTAGAGATGTGACCATCACAAGTATCATATTTTAGCCACTGAGCAAAAGAGCAGGAGCTATAGAATGTTTATTTTCTGGCCTGAAGGCTGTTGTTTCTCTGCTTTCTGTAATTACACACCAGCATTTCTGTACATGTTTAGGGGGGTGATGTATAGGCCAGACTGGACTGAGCTGGTGTGAAGCTGGTCCACAGTGGCAAGAAAGCTTATTTGAGATGATCCCGTGGAATTCAAGGAAGTGCTGTTCTGGCCATTATACATACTTCCTACAGTCCTTTCTGTCACTCTGCTTAATTTGTTTTTTGGGTTTTTTTTTTTTTTTTTTTTTCACTCTGCTTAATTTGGTTTGGATCTGTGCACAGCTGTTCATTCATTTGAGTTTGTGTTCAGTCATTCATTTGTTCATTCCTTTACTATATCCATGTACCATGCTACGTGCTGGGTATAGAATTATGCATCAACTAAACAGTGCCTAGCCACATAGAACTTGGTTTGTTGGGAAAATGGACAATGATCAATCACATAAATATACAGGGTGGGGCAGAAGTAGGTTTACACTTGTGAATATACAAAACACAGAATTTATTCTATATTATTATTTATAAATTACTAGAGGCCCTGTGCACGAAATTTGTGCAAGGGGCTCGGCCCTCGCAGCCTTGGCCGACCCTCACAGGCCCTCCCAGCCCTGGCTTCATCTGGAAGGTCATCTGGCTGTTTGGTCTAATTAACATATTAGCTCTTTATTATATAGGATTATATTATTTTCCATGCAAACAACTCTAAACCTGCTTTTGCCCCACTTTCTATAATTATGCATTGTGATAAGTTCAGTGTAGTTTGAGAGAGAGGATGTCAGGAAGGGGGGATGTCACTTAGGTTGAGGGTGAGAGGTGGGCCAAGATAATGGAAAAGGAGCTTAGGTGGCTAAGAGTGATGGGAAGAGCATGCTATATAAAGAATGTCAAAGTTTTGAGATAGGAACAAGTTTGGCACATTAAAAAAACAAAAGAGACCAGCAGGGCTGGAAAGTGGCTGAGATGAGGCTAGGGAGGTGGGCAAGGTGCCAGATCATGCAGGGCCCTGGAGTTTTAGCTGCAGCTAAAAGCCTTAAAAGTTTAGCTACATCTCTGGCAGATGCTTTGATGGCAGATTTTTTGTTTGTTTGTTTTTGTTTATTTTGTTACTATCTCTGGGTCCTGTTAGTGAGTAGACTTATTGAAAGGCATGCTGCTAAAATCAGGGTAGGAAGTACAGGACTACTAAAACAAGGTCTCTAGGGAAGCACAGAAACAAGTTTGCATTTTTTCCTGTTCTTATTTATTTGACTGGAACTACGAGGTGAGCAAGAAGTCCATCGCCTATATCTGAATATAGATTATAATACTTTGTACAGCCTTTTATTTTGATTGTTTTGTGGTTTATTTGCGCCATTAGACTGGAACACCTTAAGGTTTGGGAACATGTGTCATTTCATCTTTGTATTTCTGGCACCCAGTAAGGAGTAACCCAGAGGGAGGTTTTTCCTTTTAGGTAGGAGGAGGTAAGTTGCATTCAGGGGCACAATTTGGAAAGCAGAGTCCCTGGTTGCCCCCCTAGATTCTCTTTTTGTATATTTTGACTATTCCCAGCTTCCTTACTTGATTTTTCTTCCTATCTCTGCAGGATCAGTAAGCCGAGAGCTGAAGATTCAGGCGAATACCACTGTGTATATCACTTTCACAGTGCTCCTAAAGCAAATGCCACCATTGAAGTGAAAGGTACAACCCAACAGAGGCTGTGGTGTGAGCCTCTCACTCTTCTTCTGAAATACTATTTTGGTCTGGACCCCCAGACTTCAAGCTTTTCTTGTTTCCATTATGGGAGGCAATATAACGTTATTAGGACTTAGGAGCTCAGCTACCCAGGTTTAAATCCATACCCCATCATCTACTAGCTGTGGGACTGTGATAAATTATTAATTTATGTACATTTGTTTGTAAAACCTGCCTCATGGGTTTGTTAGGTGGATTAAATAAGTTTACATAGTAGGTTGAACCATATGAAATTACTGTTTTTTATATTTTAAAAATGCTTGAATGTTGACAGCTGTGTGGTTCAGCCTTATGTAAAGCTCTTAGAGCAGTGCCTTCTGAGTATTATTATATAGGTCTCTTAAATGGGCCAGCAGAATTTGTCAAAGTACAGTGTTCTGGGTAAACATTAACTATTTATGGATAATTCATTAGAATTTTCCTATTAACTCTGGGTGCATAGCATCTTAAAGATGAGGCTGCAGCTGAAAGATCCAAGAAAGACCAATAAAATTGTATGAGTTGGAACTACTTAAGTACATCATTAATCCCAGCTTTCCTGTGTTATTTCAAAGAAGCAACTGAGATCCAGAAAAGAAACCACTGCTCTGTGCCATACAGTGAGTTGGTGGTCAAGCTAGCATAGAACCTTAGGTTTTGACTCCCAGTCCTTTGTTTTTCCATTTTATGAAATGACCATAGGGAGGCGGGGTTACTGTTTGAAGTCAGACTGAAGAGATGAGGGTGGTTGTTGTTGTTTTTTTAATTTAAATTTTACTTAGGAAGACATCTTGTTCTTTAAATCCATAGGGTATGGTCTTTAGAAGCTAGAGGGATACATTTAGGAAATAGGAAGGGCCTACTATATGTAGGTATTCAGGTGTTCCTTAAATATTTAGAAGACTAAAAATTCAGATTCAAGAAAGGCTTAGACACATTTACAGTTTCTATTATATGTTGTTATTAAATGAAAGTAATGCCTTGGTGACACAGCCCTGACTTGTGAGTGCATGGACAGCCAGTACCTTTTCTGGCTGCCAGGTTGAATTCTAAATGCCTGAAGGGGTTGAGTCACAGTTGCATGGTTTCAGTCTACACAGGCCAGAGAACCTGGATTTGATTAATTCAGTGGCTTTTCTTGGAGAGATCTGGGTTTACCTTTGTTTTTAAAGAATGCCACATTTGTTCAACATGAGGATGAAGGTATGAGAAAGCATTTTCTCAGCCAGCCAAGGGCCTTTCCCCACTTGGGTGAGCTGAGCTCTGTGGGGAGACTCCTCTGTAAGACCTGAGGACCTGCAACATTCCAGGCTGAGCCTTTGGCACAAAGTCCAAGTGCAGAGGGAACAGGTTGAGTGAGAGAAGGAAAGTGGTGTGTCTAGTTAATAGTCCTCTCCAAGTCTAAAGGATAATTACATACAATTACAAGTCCTGATGAACTGTAATCTTAGCGATTTGATGTTAATGATTTCTAAGCAGCACTTTTAGGAGTGGAAACAAAGGTTGTTTTTCCATTGGTTTGGCTGCTCGAGGTGGGATTCGGTGGCCCAGAGGCACCTTTCCTCTCATTCTGTTGAGCAGATATGAAGTGATCTGGAGGTCAGGGAAGAGGAGGCTACAGGCAAGAGTGTTTCCAGAGGAAGGGACAGCTTAGACGGTATCTTGCCATAGTGAAGGTGCAGACTGTGCACTGTTGCATTTTTACTGTACAATAGCCCTGTGAGGAGGATTGGGCAGGTGGTGATAATCCTGGTTTTAAAGAAGTAGACCTAAAGAAAATTCTTTCTATAGAATCCTAAAACATATTTTGTGACTAGCTTGGACAGATATGTTAGTCTCTTAAGAAAATTCATAAAGAATTCTAGGCTTTCTCTCTTCCCTCTCTTCTCGAATACCTGAACAGAAAACAGTGAAACACTTAACGTCAGTCAGGTAATGGATAGTTTAGTATGGTAAAGACTGAACATTTGGCTTTTTCTGTGTAAGTTTTTAAAGGTTTGCCTCAGGCCCCGGATCATATTCTAGGCTAGCTCCTGAATGTGGTGGGGTAGAAAACTGCCTTGCATTTAGAGTGGGGTGAGAGGGGTGGTGTGTTATTCCCAAAGCATTTTGATATAAACTCATTTTATTTCTTCAGTGCCTATAAGGTGGAGTAAGAGACGGTTTTCTTTTTATAACTATAATGATTTGAAAAATCTGCTGAGTAATAGAGAGGTAAGAGGTATCTGTACTTGAGAACAGAAATTCCAGGGGATTCAGGGAACGTAAGTGACCTCTGCTGACAGGAGTCTCTGAAAATCTTCATTTATAATTCAGACTATACATATATATTTCTTTAGCACCTGTTCTGCACACAGCCCTTTTCTTCCCCATCTGGCTTTAATCTTCACAACTCAGGTAAATGCTGTTATTATCTCCACTTTCCAGGTGAGAAATTGAGGCTGGAAGGAATTAAATGACTTGTACAGAGTGACAGAGTTAAGCAGTGGAGCCAGGGTCCTCACCTAGGTGCTCTAGTGCCAGAGCCTGTTCCCCTAAACACTAAACCATGTGGCCATGTTCAGCACATAACAATTTAAAGGACTCAGACTGAGTAAGAAGAAATGGGCTCTAATCCTGGCCCTGCCATTAAACTTAGTGACCCTGACCAGTCACTCTTCTTCCTCGGCTGCCCAGTGTATGATGAAGTAGGTTGAGATAGAGGGTCTTTAAGGTTCGGTAAGTCTCCTATGGTCTGTGATTTCCTTTTATGGATACAGATGAGGAAATCGTTGGGTTATTGGAGGAAATGATTTCTAAGCTTCTTTTCCTAGTGGTTGTGATTTTTAGCTTCTTAGCTTTGAGAATCTTACCGTAGGGCCTCCACAATCCTGCTCACACATCTCTCTGTCTTATTGAACATTCCCCCCTGATCTCAGACACTGATCTCAAATACTGGTGCCAAGACCAGTGTTAAAGCAGTGGTTCTCACACTTGATTTGATGTGTTTAACTGAGAGGCGCCAATATAATCAGGTCAGAGAGGTCAGAAAAGGAACAAACGGCACCAGAGCGTTACCAGAGAGTTACATTTTACGACACCAGGGCAATCAGGAAGGTCAGTAGGGGGAGATGTAACAATCAACTTTTATGGGAGACAGCTGCAGCAGGGAGGTTACGGGAGATGGCCGCAGCCCGGGAGTAAACTGAAAAACAAGCAACTTGATAAGAAACTAGACAGGCATTAATTCACAACGGCGCCAAAATTCCCAGAAGAATGACCCCCTTGCTCCCCCCGTTTGCTTCCCCCGTTTGCTAGAGGGGTATATAACCTGTGCTTAAACTCTTAGTCAGGGCTGACAGCCGCTGCTCTGCTGCGTTCAGAGTAAGCTGGTAAGCCCCAACATGTTGGTAACTAAATAAACCCTTTGCCTTTTGCATGAGAAGCGTCTCTTGGTTCTTTGTGGTTCTCACACTTGATTTGATGTGTTTAACTATGGCCTGAGCATCAGGCTTATTAAGAGCACTCCGGGTGGTTATAGTGTATATCCAAGGTTAGAATCACTTCAGTGCTTCCTAGTCAGTGATTTCATCTGCAGAAAAGGGAAAAGCCTCATCTATAGGAGGCAGCACAAGTCCCAGACTGCTCTAGTTTTCATAACCAATGATGAACCTACTCTGTAGAGAAGCCTTATTGAGCCAAAAGCTGACATCCTTCTTGCTTCCATCTTGATCAGTCTCATATTGCTTGTTGGGCTTAGCCTTTGGTTAGCAGTAAATTTTAACACTCCCTCTGCCTTCAGCCAAGTCTCTAACTTGCCTACAGCGACGATGAGGTATATCTGGAATTTTATATTTTGCAAAAAGGAAGCAAAGAAATCGTTTATACAGTATCATTATATTTACTTAGACATAACCCACTCATTGAAAACACCTTTGAGGATGGAGTTCCTTTGAATATTAGTTGTGAAGTTAAGAATTTACTTTGAAAAGTGAACACCAAATAAGCAGTCCATGTAAGAGGCCACATACCTTTCTCAGCTCTGTTATGGTTATGTTTAACTTTACTTATCATCAGCTTCAGCTGAACATATCTCTGTTGTGTAAGTTGACACTTTCTACAGCCACCAGCCTGGCAATGAAGCCAAATGCTTTGCTGAAGTGTAGGCAGGTCAGGCAGCAGAAGGTACTGAGGAATGTGCATTTGTCCTCCACCCAGGTCATAAAATTGGTTAAGGCATTGCTGGGCAACTAAAAGTCTTTTGGATTCCTTGCGTTGCCATTTGTTAGGATACTGGAAGAATATTCATTAACCTGATTAGAGAAGGTGGATAGCAAGGTGAGAGATTGAGTTTACTCCTAGTAAGTCTGTGATCTCTTTTAAGAGTCTCTTTGTGACTTCCTTACCACTTCTGCCCCCACTCTTGTAATCCGTCTCTGCTTCCTTGAGAGGGTACAGGGAAGTAAAGAGTATCTGCTTTGTCAGACTCCTCAGATCTATCTTCAGACCAACAGGACCTGATTAAGCTGTTCATTATTGAATGGCAAGCCCGTATGAGGTGAGGCACCTTAATCAGTATCAGTAAGCCATTAATGACTATAATTTGTCAGTGTCTGACCTGATTAAACCTTATTGGAGTCACAGAAGTCCTGTTCATATCAGCAAACAGGGAGAGAACACAGTAATCAGCATCTCTTTGATTTCTTAGAATTCAGAGTGTCTGAGTCTAGGCCTAGCCTTTCCTTGCTCCAAATAACAGCTCAATTTAAATGTTTACTTTTGATCCTGAACTCCAAACATGTGCTAGATTGCTATAGAAATGTAATTTCATCCTCACAAGACCTCTATGAAGTATGTGGGTATTATTCTCATTTTACAAAAGTGAAAACTGAAACTCAAAATGATTTTAAATGACCCGTCTTAGGTTACTCATTGGGTGAGTAAGAGAGTCTCCATAGGGCCCAAATGGGGTAATGTCTGTTTGATTGGGTGGCTATGGTTGTTTTCTATTGCTTAAAGCATCAAACACTTGTTACCTCATAGTTTCTGTGGGTCAGGAATTAGGGCACAGATTGGTGGCGTAGTTCTGGCTCAGGGTCTATCAAGCTATTGGCTGGGTCTGCAGTCATCTGAAAACTTGACTGGGGCTGGAGGATCTGTTTCCCAGGTGGCTGTCTTATGTGGCTATTGGCAGAAGGCCTTAGTTTCTCACTACCTGGGCCTCCCTACAGGCTGTTTGAGCATTTGAGCATCGTTCCAGAGTGTGTGATCCCAGAGAGAGAGCAAGGAGAAAACTTTGTTTTCTTTTGAACTAATACCTAAAGTTGTATACCTTTACTTCTGCTTTATTTAAGTCACTAAGTCCAGCCCACACTCCAAGGGAGGGAAATTAGGCTTCACCTCTTGAAGGGAAGAATATCGGAGGATTTGTGGACACTTTAAAAACCACCACAGGTGGATTCTGAGCCCCAAGGGGGCCCCCTCTCTGACTACTGCTGACATGTGCTGAGAGCCTGGGTATTTCTTGCTCTGTGGTTCTGCTGTCCTGCTCAGCTGGTAGGGCAGGAACAGGCTTTCTGATTGAGCAGCTACTGTAAAGGATAGAGAGAAGTGAAAAAAACTTTTCTTTGACCCAAAGGCTAAAGTAATAGTTATCATCACTTCCTATAAGGATATAGTAATGTGGGTTGGTTTAATTTTTCGTTCTGCTGAGTACACAGGTAATATTTTCACCATCCCAAGAGTGACTAATGAGGGCATTAGACTTTTGAGTACGTTAAGTAGAGGGGCTATTCCTAAGCTTCACTCTGTATTATTTGCTAAATTGTGGAGAAAGCAGCAATACATCTAACCATTGGAAACACTTCTTATAGGCTTATACTGTGTAAACATGGCCAACAAAGTGTGGTGGGAGTTAGCTAAGTTCCTAGTGGTCTCCTAAACACCAAGGAAGGAGTAAAGACCATCTCCACCCCTCTCTTAACGTCTTCACCTTCAAGTCTCTGTCTTTTCAGAATAGCAACCTTTTAGAGGCTATGGAGCCTTAAACCAATTCAACTTTTAGCCTTTTAGGTGTTTCGGATGTATAATCTTGGAGATGAGTACCCATGGCAAAAGTTGATGGTACTGAACTCACAGTACTTTTGGAATTAGTCAGATAACTGGGCCAGATTGGGTATTCTTCATGGGGCAAAGGAGAATGAAAGAGGAAAAATACATTACATGTAAGCTGATTTCTGAAATTTGTATCTCCACCTAGATGATTACCCTGAGCTCCAGACTTGATACTTAATTGTCTACTTGACTGCTTCACTTGAATGTTAAATAAATATTTTAAATTTAACGTGTCCTAAAATTTGAATGCCTGGTTTTTACTACCATCAATTACTGCATCCCCAAATAAAACAAAATAAAAATAAGCAAACAACCCACCCTAATTCTTCTGCAATCTTCCTCATCTCAGTAACTGAAAACTCAGTTCTTTCAATTACAAGCCAGAAATCATGGGGTCATTCTTGACCCCTTTTTCTCTCACATCCCACATCCAGTCCATTAACAAATATATTAACTTAAACTATAAAATATATACAGAATCTCCTCCCTACTACTACTACTGCCCTTATCCAAACCACCCTTTCTCTTGCCTGGATTACTGTAATAGCACCTGATTAGTCTTGTTTCCACTGTTGTTTCTCTACAACTGTCATCCGCATAATAGCAAGTGGTAGCCTGTTAAGACATACAGATCATTCCATACCTACACTTACTATTCACCAGCTGATTCAGAGTAAATGCCAAAGTCATTTCACTGGCCTACAAGTCCTATCTGATCTGGGCTCCATTCTTTCTGATTTCCTCTTCTGCCATCTTCCCCTTGCTTACTGTGTTTTAAAAAAAACAACTCCCCATGCTACTCTTTATACATAATAACCACATTTCTGCCTCAAGGCTTTTGCTTTTCCCTCTACTTGGAGTGTTTTCCCCACAGATACGAGTGGCCTACACCCTTATTTTCTTCATGACTGTGCTAAAATTTACCTCATTAGAAAGGCTTTCTCCCCACATCTCTCTGTCATATCTGGCATGTAGTGGGCCAACTAGAGGCAAAATGTGGTAGCTCTTCTGCTTGTTGTGTCGCCCAGTTCTCCCATGATGGTATTTTAGTTCATGTGTGGCCATGGAGCTTACTCCTTCAAGTGCTTAAGATGGTCTTTAATATCTATTGATTGAAGAAATTTTCTTTGAGGAAGGGTGACCACTGAGAAGTGACCCAGTACTGTGGGAGAATTTGGCATGGTGGGAATAAGATCGAGCCAGCCTGACCCACTCGCTTCTGTAATGAGGAATTTTGCCTGGAAAAACAAAAAGACATTTCCTTTGTAACATCATATTTAGAAAACACCTCACACTGAGTAGTATTGAGAAGATCTATTTGGCAAGCAGTGGTTATAGAGAGCTTGGGGCCTTGCTCAGTCCATTCCTGTCCTGGTGCTTCTGAGGCTGACCTGCGAAGCACAATCTGAGAGTAGCAGACTTTGGATTATTTTTAAGCCAAGAAAGCCAAGCCAGTCAGAGGGGAAACATGGGATCAGCCCATGATACACGGTAATAACAATTCCACAGGCTTTTAGTCTCAAATGAATGTTTTGTTGACATTTATCTATCCAAGGACACTGAATGTAGGCAGGGGCTAGAATTGTATTCGTTTGATAATGGGTATAGAACTGAAGCACAAAGTAATTAAAGAACCAGCAAAACTGGAATTTGGACCAGGCCTATTGATTCTCTTTCCCATCTTGGCCTAACTTTGAATTTATTGCTTTCAGATTACTATAACTGGTAAGGTATGGTGGAAAATATAGTTAAGCTCAAAGAAGGCTAGATTCAAAGAAGTAGCCTTCATCTCAGGCTTCTTGGATCCTTGAAACTTATCTAATTTTAAAATCACAGGTGCTGTTTCTTTCTTCCTAAGTGATCCCTAAAAGCAGAGAAGACTAACAGCCCCTAGCATGCCTAGAAATTCCTTAAGATTGGGTTCATTGAGATTACTACAAATCAGATGCATAAGTCAGATTCTTAAGCTGTTAAAAAGTCTCTTGGGACACTGGTTGAATTTCCTGTTCCTTCCCTTCTTCCTCTTGTGAAGACTAATTTGCTGGATTTCTTCTTTCCTGGCAGAGCCTTGGCCATTAACATTCATCAGATAACTTCTCCAGGAATTCATTGTTTTTACATACCTTGAAGTAGGACTTGATTTTAGGTGTTTGATCTCAGAGATTCCTCATTTCCTTAAGGGTATATATGACATTGGACCTAAACTACAATTGTTAGTGAGGTTTTTTAAGAAAAACCATGACTGGTAGAGGAGATGATAATAGCTTCTGTTTTCATTTTCTTTAAAGGATGGCTTACTTTAGGGCAGTTAAGCCTGTGCTCTCTTTGAGTAGGTTTACTTCACATTCTGTAATCCTAACCTGGTGTGTGCTTGAGCTGCTTTGGTGGATGGGAGATAGGGGATGGGGTTGGTTCCATTGCTCTAGTCTCACCTGAAATGCATGTTAGCAAAGCTGAATTTGAGAATGAGCCTAAAGACTGACTATATTAGAAGCAAGGCTCTGAGCCATTAGGTGGGGCCTTTGTATCCCATTCAGAGCTGGCTCCCATGGTAACTGTTCAACACTCTCACAGCTGCTCCTGATATCACTGGCCATAAACGGAGCGAGAACAAGAACGAAGGGCAGGATGCCATGATGTACTGCAAGTCAGTTGGCTACCCCCACCCAGAGTGGGTCTGGCGCAGGAAGGAGAACGGTCTGTTCATGGTGAGTAGGTGGCAGCCTGGGTCTCTGGTTACTAGATTTTCTCCTGGGGAGGCCCAGACATCTGGGCCAGTTGCTACAACTGCCATATTGGCATGGCTTCGGTCACCCTTTCTAGAGTCATGAATGGTCACAACATGAATCTGGAGGTCAGTGACAGTTTCTGTCCAGCAGGGAAACCCTATGGACGATTTGTTATTAACGCTGTCTGTCTGGTAAGGGATTAGACTGCTTGCCTTGAAGATTGGACATTGAAAGAGCTAACCCCAGTCTTAAGCTTTTACTATTCTAGTCTGTTTATCCTAAAGAAAATTATGGTTTTTAAGTGGTCTTAATGTTTTTGGGGAAGACAAGGCAGAGAACAAAATGTTAGTATACTATTCCTGAAACACAGGATTAGGAATTAGGCAACCTGATGTGGCCCAAGGGCAGCCTTAGACATTGGAAAACTGACAGTATTTGTTCCAGGAAAAGGTTAAAAAAATATATTTTCTAATCCCTGGCACGATTCTTTTTAAAAAAATCCTCACTTGAAGACATACTTTTTTATTGATTTTTTTTTTTAAGAGACAGAAAGAAACATTGATCAGTTGCCTCCTATACATGCCCCTACCAGGAATTGAACCCACAAACCTAGGTATGTGCCCTGACCAGGAATCAAACCCACAACCTTTCTGTGCATGGGACGACACTCCAACCAACTGAGCCAGGCCCGTGGCATGATTCTTTTTTTTTTTCTTTTTCAAAGAATGTATCTTAGATTTATTAGGAGAAAGAGACCCTGAGGGTAATAATTTTCCATTCCCTTTCCAGGCCTTTTGGCAAAAGAAAAGCTGATAATCTAGATGAATTTTTTCTATTTCTCTTTTTTTTAAAATTAAATCTTTATTGTTGAAAGTATTGCATATGCCCTCTTCTCCCCGGCCCCCCCCCCCCATTGACTCCTTCTAGCCTGCCCCCACTACCCACTCCAGGCCTTCACCACCCTATTGTCTGTGTCCATGGGTTATGCATATATGTATACAAGTTCTTTGGTTGAACCCTTCCCACCCACTCACCCATCCTCACCTTCCCTCTGAGATTCAGCATTCTGTTCCATGCTTCCACATCTCTGGATCTATTGTAATCAGTTTATTTTGTTGATTAGATTCAACATATGAGTGAGATAATGTGATATTTGTCTTTCCCTGATTGGCTTATTTTGCTTAGCATAATACTCTCCATGCTGTCTCAAAGGCTAAGAGATCCTTCTTTTTTTACTGCTGCATAGTATTTCATGGTATAAATGTACCATGGCTTTTTTATCCACTCATCCACTGATGGGCACTTGGGCTGTTTCCAGATCTTAGTTATTGTAAATTGAGCTATTGTAAATTGTATATGAACATAGGGGTGCATACATTCTTTCTGATTGGTGTTTCATGTTTCTTAGGATATATACCTAGAAGTGGAATCACTGGGTCAAATGGCAGTTCCATTTTTAATTTTTTGAGGGAACTCCATACTGTTGCCCATAGTAACTCTGTACCAGTCTGCATGCCCACCAGCAGTGTACTAGGTTTCCCTTTTCTCCACATCCTCCCAGCACTTGTCATTTGTTGATGTGATGATGGTAACCATTCTGACAGGTGTGAGGTGATACCTCATTGTCGTTTTAATTTGCATCTCTCTGATGATCAGTGACTTTGAGCATTTTTTCATATGTCTCCTGGGCTACTGTATGTCCCCTTTGGAGAAGTGTCTATTTTGGTACTTTGCCCATTTTTTAATTGGATTGTTTGTCTTCCTTCTGTTATGAATTCCTTATATATTTTGGATATTAACCCTTTATCAGATGTATCATTGCCAAATATGTTCTCCAATACAGTGGGCTCCTTTTCATTTTGATGATAGTTTCTTTTGCTGTGCAGAAGCTTTTTTTAATTTTGATGTAGTCCCATTTGTTTATTTTCTCATTAGTTTCCTTTGCCCCTAGTAGATGTATCTATACACATATTGCTACAAAGAGATGTCTGAGATTTTTGCTGCCTGTGGTTTCTTCTAGGATTTTTAGGGTTTCACAACTTATATTTAAGTCTTTTATCCATTTTGAGCTTACTCTTGTGTATGGTGTAAGCTAAGCTGGTGGTCTAGTTTCATTTTTTGCATGTATCTGTCCAGTTTTCCCAACATGATTTATTGGAGAGACTGTTGTGACTCCATTGTATGTTCTTGCCTCCTTTGTCAAATATTAATTGAGCATAATGGCTTGGATCGATTTCAGGGATCTCTGTTCTGTTCCATTGATCTATATGCCTGGTCTTGAGTCAGTACCAGGCTGTTTTGATTATAGTGGCTTTGTAGTATAACTTGATATCTTGTACTGTGATCCCTCCAACTTTGTTCTTCTTTCTCAAGATTGCTGTGGATATTCAGGGCCATTTTTGGTTTCATATAAAGTTATTGGAGTATTTAGTCTAGATCTGTGAAATATGCTATTGGTATTTTAATAGGGATTGCATTGAATCTGTAGATTGCCTTGTATAGTATGGACATTTTAATGATGTTAATTCTACCAATCCATGAGCACGGTATATTGTTCCACTTGTTTATATCTTTTTTCAATGTCTTGTAGTTTTCCGAGTACAAGTCTTTTACTTCCTTGGTTAAGTATATTCCTAAGTGTCTTAATGTTTTGTTGCAATGGTAAATGGGATTGTTTGTTTAGTTTCTCTTTCTGAGAATTAATTATTGGTGTATAAAAAGCCATCAATTTTGGGGTGTTGTTTTATCCTGTTACATTCCCAAATTCATTTATTAAAACTAATAGTTTGTTGGTGGAGTTTTTAATGTTTTCTGATTTCTATGTACAGTATATCATCTGTGAATAATGAGAGTTTTACTTCCTCCTTTTGAATTTATATGCCTTTTATTTCTTCTTCTTGTCTGATCACTGTGGCTAGGACTTCCAGAACTGTGTTGAATAAGAGTGGTGAAAGCTGACATCCCTGTCTTGTTCCTATTCTTAGGGGAAATGGTTTTAATTTTTGCCCATTGAGTATGATGTTGGCTGTAGGTTTGTCATATATGGCCTTTATTATGCTGAGGTCTGATCCCTTTATTCCCACTTTGCTGAGAGTTTTAATCAAATATGGGTGTTGGATTTTGTGGAATAATTTTTCTGCATCTTGATATGCTCATGTGATTTTTATCTTTCAATTTATTTATGTGATGTATCATGTTTATTGATTTCTGAACATTGTACCAGCCTTGCATCCCTGGAATAAATCCCACATGGTCATGGTGTATGAACTTTTTAATATATTGCTGGATCCGATTTGCTAATATTTTGTTGAGGATTTTAGCATCTAGGTTCATCAGGGATATTGGCCTGTAATTCTCTTTCTTTGTAGTGTCCTTATCTGGTTTTGGAATTAGGATAATGTTGGCCTTATAAAAAGAGCTTGGAAGTGTTCCTTCCTCTTGGATTTTTTTGAATAGTTTGAGGAGTATAAGTGTTAGTTCTTTGAATGTTTGGTAAAACTCCCCTGTGAAGCCGTAGGGACGCCTGCCCTGTGGCATGATTCTTGATGGTATTGGGAAAGTCAAAGCTTTAAACTCTTCGTTTCTCTCTGATTCACTGATGTTTGGTTAATCTCCTTTTTTATCAGAGGAGTGTCATATGCATTCCTCCTGTTCCCAGTCCTTGTATGCCCAACACTATCCTTATCAGGTATACTTATTAATTATCAGTCTTCAGAATCAGAAGGACCTGGCGACCATCAAATCCAATTTCTTCAGAAAGGTTACCTGTTAACCAAGGTAAATTAGTGACAAAACCAAGGATCAAATCTAGTTTATTAAAAACTTTTAAGTCCTGCCCTGGCTGGTTTGGCTCAGTTGTTAGAGCGTTGGCCTGTGGACCAAAGGGTCATGGGTTCGATTTCCAGTCAAGGATACGTATCTTGGTTGCAGGGGCGCATGTGGGAGGCAACCAGTCAGTGTGTCTCCCTCACGTTGATGTTTCTTTCTCTCCTCTCCCCCCCTTCCTTTTTCCCTTTCTCTCTCTCTAGAAATCAATGGAAAAAATATCCTTGGATGAGGATTTTTTTTAAAAAAGTCAATTTTTCTTCACATTCTGTGACCTCTCAATAATGTTATGTTAGGTGTTGATAAGGACTAACCTGACTAGCGTTCAGAAACCCTTTAATAAGGGGATTGGGATGAGGAATGGAGAGGTGAAGATACTGCATTTAGTCTTTTCAGAGCAGGCTCTGAAAGAGCAACAAAACATTTAGAATTTTGCAGTGCTTAGCAAGGAAATGCCCATTTTTCTTTATTGGTCCCTGGTGGGAGGACCTTTGAGCTTTGGTCAGAGCAGTTTGGGGTTTCCTCATTGGGTATTTTCATCTCCTGTTCTCATGACCACGGAATCTTAAGTATCTGTTATTTTTTGAAAAACATTTAAAATCAAACATTGGTACTTCCTCTTTCTGTCAAGCTATATATCATAGGTTAATGCCTTTGAAAACCATTTTGTTTGAACGGCCTAAATTTAGTGGCGTGCTGAGATAAAATGCTTTCAAGTTTTTCTAGACACTGATTTCAGCAATTTCCTAACATGTTTCTGGACAAATCCCGTAGTTTGCTTGGATCTCTTATTCTAAGTCACTTATTTTCATCTTTGTGTATTCTCACTTTTTTTGCTCCTGAGCAGGATATTGCCAATAACTCTGGCCGCTTCTTCATCATCAACAAGGAAAATTACACTGAGCTGAGCATCGTGAACCTCCAGATCACAGAGGACCCTGGCGAGTATGAATGTAATGCCACCAACTCCATTGGCTCTGCCTCCGTCGTTACCATCCTCAGGGTACGGAGCCACCTGGCCCCACTCTGGCCTTTCTTGGGAATCCTGGCTGAAATCATCATCCTTGTGGTGATCATTGTTGTGTATGAGAAGAGAAAGAAGCCTGATGAAGTTCCTGACGGTAAGAGCATCCCTACAAAATAGCTATAATGTTGAGGTGGTTTTGTTGGGTGGTGTCTAAGGATATTGGGATTCAATCCCAAAAGGAGAGAAGGAAAATTCTTTTACTGGTTTCTCATCCACTACTCCCAAAATTAGAGCTCTAATATTAGCTCTGTCCTTCCACTTGAGTGTTCTCCAGACCCCAGTCCTATCTGCCCTTTAGGCCCCATGTGGGGAGTGGGCAGCTGTTAATTTTTTTGTTCAGCTCTGTCCTCCTTCAATACAGATCATCAGGCAGATTGAGCTTGAGGAGAATTCAAGTCAAGCCTAGAAGCCACCCCAAGATCGCAGGCCACCTGGCCTTTCAGGCAGATTTAAGGTATCTAATTGGTTGTGACATAGTTGCCTGATGTAGCCCCTGTAGGTCACTCACTGCCCACATTTAGTCAGACTGTTCTCAGGAAAAGCTATCGGAACAAGCCAGCCTTTGATTCTCTTGGTTGGTTCTTTCAATAGATTTTCAACATTCTGGTAAAGCCAGCACCTACTGTTTGACTTTTCTGTGTCTCACAGACTAGAATGGAGAGCTTCTGATGCCTCCCCCCCACCCCAAGCAGTAACACCTGGAGTTCATACCAGAGGCGGCACCCCCCAAGCTGCCTAGGGTCAGAGAAGGGCTGATCTTAGCAGCAGAACCATAGAGAATTGTTAAGCATTGGAAAGAAAAAGAATCTTAGATTGTTGGACATGCTTAGACTCAGGAAAGTCCAGAGGCATTTTTGTATGTTTTTTGTCATACATGTTTCTATTTCTAACCCAATTGATTATAATTGGGGGAAACTACTGATGGACACTTGGATCAGTAGTTCTTCAGATTTCTAACTAGCTTCTCATCCCCACCTTCCTGCCCTATAGCATCACCAGTAAAAACAAATTAATTGGCCAGCCAGCTATTACCACCACTTGCCTGTCACTGACTAGGCTAGAAGGGTGTGCACTTAAGCTCAGTGGAGGCTGACTTTAGTGATGTGAAGATGCTAGCTCTAATTCGACTGTCCTGGGCCTGTGCTTGTGCACTGTGGTATTATTCCCTGCCCCACAGCGGTGTCCCTGTCCTGTGGCTGAACCGTGGTGGGACTGTACCACCCACCCTGTGTGTCGGGGAGAACACTAAGGGAAGTCTGTGACGTCACAGACTATGCAGCCCTGAAGGAATGCAGTGAATCCCAACTCTTTGGAAGGACAGGTTTGAGAGCAAGAGCCATTTCCCTTTCTTTTCCTTTTGTTTCAGCAACTCCTGATTCTTTTGCCTGCGTTAAGTAGAGTGAGTATTAGAGTGAAGCTGGTGGAAAGGTTTTTTGTTAACACTAACATTGCACATGGGAAGACGAGGTGGACTCAAGATGTACATTCAGCAATTATCTAGATGGAGGGATGGGGTAGACTTAGGCTGGAAGCAGATAGGCCTTTGTAAATAAATGAGTCAGTTCCCTGCAACATAAGTGTTCCAAGGATTTTTACTTTCCTTCTCCTAAGTCCATAGAACTGTTCTATGAAATACAATTGTTTTCTTGGGGTTTTCATATATGTATTGTGCTTTTCCTTTATATTTTTCTTCTTCTGCTACAAACTAGGACTCCCAAGGCAGAATTAGGGACAAGTTGACTATATGGTTTCAGCATTGGCTCTTTGGGAGCAGTTATGCCTCAATCCCAAAAAGGCCTTTTTTAAATCCCCTCAGAATGCTTTTGAGTTACTAAGTATCACCATTATCAGTCTTCCCTTTGGAAATGTTGAGAAGCAAAACGTCAGTTAGAAAAAGACAGGTATGGGCTTCAAAACCAGTTTTTTAAAGTTTTAAGATGAGGCTGGCTGCCACTCTCTTGGCAGAGTGACACTGGCTTAGCACGCAGCCTGGGCAGAGGTTCCAGTCTTCCTGTGGGAAGCACTTCTTTTCTAGGCTGCTCTCCAGCATATGTGGAAGGCTTTCAGGTTGGATTTGAGAAATGGGTAGCATTATTTTGATCTGGCATGTGCTCACACCTGCCCAGGGAAGCAGCTCTTTTTTGAAGAGCTCCATGGTGGTTGAACTCAAATGGGGCCAGTTTGTTATAGGAGACATCTGTGGCCAGCAAATCTTCTGCACGGCTTCTTGGAGGGAAACTACTTCTTTTAAGCTAAATTATTATAGACAGTGAATGAATCCTACCTAAGAGATTACTACAGGGTAAGTGCAAAGTAAAACCTCCTTGCTCCAATCTCTTGGAAGAATAATGCAAGCAGATTTTACTTTTTGTTGTTGAATTGGGGTGAAAAAATCTGGGATGCTGGAATCACTGCAGTGTTTGCCTTCTCTTCATTCCCTCCCTGACAGCCAGTGTGGTCCAGGCTCCATTGTCCATCTCCATGTCCCTGCCCTTGCTCCATCATTTCCATCCCATAGTTTTCTCCTTGTCCCTCTGCCTGCCCCTCTTTTTCTTCTTCTGTCCTGAAAGTAATCATTAAAAAAAAAAAGTTTATTATTCTCAGTGAGTTTTCCTGATGCTGTGGCTTTTTCTTTTTAGCCAGTTTCCCCTCAACTTCTATACAATTTGTGTGAGAGCAGACGCACTGCATATGCTTTCTTCCCTCTGCCCCCCAACTCACACACAGACATATGCATACACTCCTTTTTGTATTGAATGATTTCAAAACAACATGATGTCTGATACAAATTTGGAGTTTTAGAGATAAATTTTTATCTGGCTTTGTGTTGACTTATTTATGTTACAGTCAAACCTCGGTTCTCGAACAATTCCCATCTCGAACAATTTGATTCTCAACCTGACAACCTCATGTTGATACATGAACATGACAAAAAGCGTGTCTCAGGCCACAAAAGAGAGAATGGAGTGTGTGTCAGTTTACCACTGAACCTGCTATTGTTAACATCTCAGAAAATTGTGCTGTAAATATTTTTTTGCTTTTTTGCTTTTGTTGGTGGGGAAGTGGAGGATTAGCACAATTTCAAAACATAAAGAGGCCATCAAGAGTACTGTTGTTGCTAATGGTGTGGAAGTGCTCATGAAACAATTTTTATAGGCAATTGAAGAGGTAGAAAAATTGTTGATTTGGATAAGTGAAAAGCAGTTTGCTGGTGATAGCATTTCAGAGGTAATGATAATGTGAGAAAGCAAAGATGCTGCATGCTGACCTGAAGGACACCCCTGGAACGTGTGTTGAAAGTGATTCGGTTAAGGCTAGTAGGGGGTGGTTCCATAAATTGAAGAAGTATTTGTTTATAGATTAAACAGTATATTAATATAATGTATATATAAGAATTAAACAGAATCATTTGGGGGTCTGGAATAGATTTATTCAATTTACATTATTTCTTATAGGAAAAAAATGATGCAGTTTTCGAACAAATCTCCTCTCAAACAGCTTTCCAGAATGAATTAAGTTCGAGAACCGAGGTTCCACTGTATTATGAAAAGGAATTTTCATAAGCCCATCATGCTTTTTCTCTGTCAAATAGGTACTTCCTTATCAAGATACACCTATGATTTAATTCTGACTCACCAAACTTTTTCATACTCAAAAATTCATATAAAACTCATAGTATTTATTAGGGAGGACATGTTTGTGGGTTCTTGATAACTCATTATTAGAAAAGCACTAAGTAAGTAATACAAAAGTATATAAACACAAATTTGAACTTAAGAGTTTAGTCTAAACGTTTCACTAGAAAAGCAAATATTGCTTTAGATTTCTCAAATAGAAAATTTTGAGGTTAACGTTTAGCTGCTTCCAGAAAAAAAAGGGGGGGCGTGTTTTTGTGTACTGGAGTATACTCAGGATATCTTATAAATGAAACACATCTAAATCCCTGTTATGGTCTCTTTGTGGATTGGTGCAGTTGGTTGTCTTATAGGTAGATGATCTGCAAATCACCTTTTACCTTCAGTGTTTTCAGTTACAGGTGAATCATGGAGCCAAATAAGGCCTTTGTTTTTTCACTTTACTCACCTCTTGACTATGTTCTCTGAAAACGTTAAATGGTAGTTCTCTAAAGACTAGGTCCAGCTAGCATTCCTCTGACCTTCCATCCATCTTTATAGTGGGACACATGCTTAGAGCACATGTTCTGTGTGGGTTCCCTGCTGACTGAACCCAGGATATTAGTGTGTGCTTTCAAAACCCCTCCCCAACCCCCTGTGGAGATGGGATGGATTGGCTTAGTCATGGGGACCTTACAGCTTACTGGATATTTCAGTGACCTCAAATGAAATTTAGGAAAATGCTATTATCAAAGAGTTTCCTACTTTCACATTAGGGGGATAATTTTTATGTCAGTTAAAGGGACTCTTCCTTTAAGTTATGATAGAGAAGAGGCCTGGTGGTGGTGGTGGTGGTAGTGGTGGTGGGCGTATTTTTAGAGGCTCTGATATAACCAAACTCTAAAATCTATTAGTTGGGTAAAGCATTTGGTAGCATATGAAGATTTACCATGTTGAAAAAAAATGTGACGCTTAAAAAAAAAATAAAAAAATAATATATATATCTATCTATAGATATCTATATCTATATCTATATCTATATCTATATCTATATCTATATTACTGATTTTACAGAGAGGAAGGAAGAGGGAGAGAGAAACGTGATTGGCTGCCTCCTATGCGTCCCCTACTGGGGATTGAGCCTGCAACCCAGGCATGTGCCCTGACCAGGAATCGAATCAGCAACCTCTCGGTGTACGGGAGGATGCCACACCGGCCAGGGCAAGAGATGCAGCTCTTTAACATGTTGAACACACATTCGTTATCTCTTAACTAAGGGTCATTAGGATCAATAACAAGTTACCTTATGGAGGAAATACAATAGGACCACATAAGGAAGGAAATTGGAAGTAACTAATCTCATTTGGTTAATCTATTCTGCTGTGATCAGGCAGCATTAAAGTGGGTTTAGAAACCATAAAACCCCATCCTTCATGAGATGAAGGCAGTGAAAAAGGAGCTTTGACCAGACAGTCCACTCTTGGTCATTTTGACTTTAAAGCCATCTTTTTGGAGGTGATATTGTATCAGGTAATCTGTTACTTATTAGGCAGGCAGTGAGCTCTACATTGTGAGGTGCACCTGGGGTCAGAGGGGTGAGGGCTACAGTGCATTTGGTTGGGAAGACCAGATGCCGAGAAATCAGTGTGTGCAACAGCTCCACCAGGAACTTCGCTCATAAGATGGATTCCAGAAGCATCTTGTTTCCATTCTCCCCCAGTCCTCTTTTTCTCATCCAGCTAGTGGCTGTAATACCCAGATGGAGAGGACAGTCATTGTTTAAGCAGCTGTCTTTTGGCCTGAGGGTTTGGGGGTATGTTGATACTTGTCGGTTACTATGACTTCTTTTTTTTCCCCCCTCAATTGCATCAAACCCTTAAAACATGGTGGTAAGTGAGCGATATGCATGCTTTTGGAGTTTGTTTAATCTCCGCTTCAGTCTATACAGTGCATAGTTCATAATGTTAACACTTTTCTTCAAGTTTACTTCATTCACTTTCACAACTAACTTGGATTTCAGTTTGCTGTTTAAATCCTCATTTACTTTGATTTTTGTACCTTTTTTTTGTAGTTCTGTTTTTCCCCCCTCTCCTGATTTCCCTGTGAGGGTCAAGTTGTTTTTTGTCTGACCTGCAAGGGAGAGTGGTGCTGCTGTCAGTCCAGGAACTAGGGGACACGAAGCTGTTTGTAAATGTGAAAGTGGATTTGGGGAGAGAAATGATGGGGCTCGTGAGATTTAGACACGACTGTGAACAACAGCTGCTCCCACTCGCAGGCATGGCGGCTACACTAGAGCCACTGTTGCTACAATCCCTACTGCAGCCCTTTGCACGTTATGGACTGGACGTTCCTCAGACGCCAGGGCATATCTTCTGCAAAAGAAAGAAAAGCTGTGGCGTGACTGCTGGGGTTGGTGCTGACAGCGACATGCTTTAAGAAGAATTAGCCTGGCTGTTGCAATTCCCTCTCCCCTGCTTTTTCTTTTAAAGTTGGGATAGATGGAAGGTATTCTTGAATTGCTATCTTGCTTTAGAATTTTGTATTTTTGGGTTCACAGCCAGAGCACTAAAAATATTCTGAGTTTGCTTCTGTGTCTTTTCCTTTAAGTCCCTGAGTGCTTAGTTCTAGCATGTAGCTGAGCTGGCTTGGCCGGGATGCTGAGAGCATTAGGGTGTCAGGTGAGGGAGGATTTAGGCTGGGCTTGTGTGTTAGTACTTGCGTGTCTTTGTGTATCTTCACTGCATACACAGCACACAGATGTCGGGGTGTGCTTAAGTCTTAGTTTGTTCTCTGTATCTGTTTGATAGTACTGTTGTCAGTAGTAGAATCCTGTGGACACTGATGTGTCGCTAGCCTGTGGTTTTGGCTAATAAGTTGTTGGTATGTGGTTAGTTTTTTGTTTTGTTTTTTAAATCTGTTTTTGCTCCAGTCACTGTGTGTGCTGGCAGTGGCTTTGCCTCTCCGTTGCCTCAAAGGAACAGGTGGAGCAATGTCTCCCTCTGACAGACATTCCTCCTGATGTGTGCTCCTGCGGACGCCTGCACCGAGACTGTGATCTCCATAACTGCTTCATGTGCACCAAGCCCCCTTGTGGAATCCTGCTGAGAGTTTTTCCAGAAGCCTTCAGTGAAACCAAACCATTCTGAATCATTTAATCTATCCGACTTTTGTAAAACTAAGAGCACTTACTTGTTCCTTCCCCTTTGTGGGCCTTTAAAAAAATTCTATGTATGTATAGCCCTGCTTACATGGGATCAAGTTGCCCTTAGTTGAAATAGGGAATAAAAACTTATAAATCAGAATAATAAAATACCAATTTAAGAAGGCTTCTAAACTCAGATAATGGGAGCTTTAATTAAAAAAATAAAAAGATCTCTGGCTCATCTGGGTTTGGGTTCTGGTTCTGGCCAGGGCACAAGAGTGAGCCATCTGTATCTGAAGTCTTTTCCAGAGGGATGTCACCACTACTCAGCTTCCCTGCTGTGTCACAGAACATCCTGTTGTTGCTACACTTGGCATAGCCCAGCCTGGCTGACCCTGGCTGAACTATTGTGGCTTCCTCTTCCTCAATCTTATTCTCCAGACTACAGACTCAAAACAGCAGGAACAGTGTCCTTTGGGGAAGTGAGGATGTGTGGCTAAATGTATAGAACATACACATCCATCTACATTGTAGGATTGAGCTAAAATTGTACATGCATTCACCATAAGAAAACAAACAGCAGGATTTTACAACTGAAATGTTGGTTTGTCTTCTCATCTATTTAAGAGTGAACCACTGGAACTTGGGGACAAGATGAGTACAATAACATTGCAGCCTATCTGTCCGCTATAGTTGCAGTTTTTCATGACAAGCATTCAAAGTGTTAACTAAAACCATTGAAACAACATATCTGCCATTAAAAACTTGAATCTAGAAATAATAACTCCATGAGTGTTTTGCACCTCCAGATGGAATGGCCTTGAATAAATGCTATGTTTTTGCCACTTGACGTTTGTTGTTCTATTAATCCATATGCAATCTCACACTTTTCTCCTTTCTTCTCCTGTCTATCAATGGATTCTAAAAAAACTGAACACCTGTGTAGATGACGAACCAGCTGGGCCAATGTAAGTACTTTATTGGGCATTGAGTGACTAGCATCAGATTGAATTACTTTGCATTCATGTTTTAATCGGTGGAGTAGCTAAGATTGTAGGGAAGACTCTGCAGCCTGACATGCAGGTGGCTAATGGACAGGCTATTTCAGTAGCAATATAAAATAGAATACCATCTGTTTGAAATTCTGCATGTCCCATATGCTTAAATTGATATTGTGGGGAAAATGACCAGTATATCTGAGACTTTAAGTTCCATACTATATGGTTCCATTAACAATTCCATGTATCCAGAACATGGAATTGCAGATTTGGATCAATCCAGGATTAGAATTTCCTAGAGTTGGAGACCAAACAGTGCCCCAAGTTGTGCCAGAGGACCCAGAGCTGCCTCTGTAATTGAGTGTCATTTGTCATTTGAGAAAAGAATGGCGCTCAATAGAGAAAAAAATACTTATTCTAACCTTATAGTAACTATAGTTTATAAGTCACAGGGAAAGTTACCTGTATATTCTTTAACTTGAGAGTCAAAAGGATCGATTAACTGAAGATATGTAGGCACTTTACCCAGGGAGTATTTTTATGTACTAACATTGTGCAGTGAACTTCCTTACACCAGGGATGGCAGTGAGTGAAAGAGTCCCTGTATTTCCATGTGTTATACTTTCCAAAGGTTGCTACTGACTTTGAGTTTAACTCTTGTAATATAATTTTTCCTCCAAAGGAAAACCAACTCTACCAACAATCACAAAGATAAAAACTTGCGCCAGAGAAACACAAATTAAGTACTACTTATAATGTAAGTATGACCTTCTTTAGAAGTTTTAAAAATTATATTGAAATGAATGTGGCTCTGTTGACCTTGTTACAAATTCTTCAGTATTTGGTGTTATGCTGCAAGATCTTTTCGTTCATTTCAGAGCAGCTCAGACTGATGGAACCCATTATGTAGCAGCTGGAAAGGACCGTTTTTCAGCTGTATTGTTTCACATATTTATATAAACGCCATTTCAAAATATGTATGATGCTTCAAAATTACACTTTGCACTACTATTTACTTATATCTTTTAAAAGAGGTAAAGATTAAATTGTCATCTTGCGAGGTGGGATATTCCCAGAGGCCAGTTAGTCCCCCTCTGCTTCTGAGGGCAAGGCAAGACCCATAGCTAGGACAGCTGGCCCCAGTGCCTTCCTGTCCGGCACATGGAGATCAGAATTTCACACCGCATCCCTGAGCATGCTGTTTGAAACAAAGCCTTGTTTTATGTGGCACTTAGTTCTTAAGTTAGGCTTTTAATTTCCAAATACTCCTCTTTTTTTTTTTTTTACAGATCTTTAGGTTCCTGAAACTGGTGGCAACATAACCTGCTAAATTTTCTGCTTGGACCTTTTTGGTTCTCTCCCATTTAAGTGAGCAACACGACGACGACTGTCTAAAGCATGCCTTATTTAGCCTCTCCTGTAAGGGTGACCTAGCAGGTACATTTCAAATAATGCTTCAGTGTAGAAGGTGTAATCTATTTTGGGCTTGATGTGCTGTGAATGTTGCTTCCTTTTCCTTTATTAAAGTATTTAAATAGAAGTGAAAAGGTCCTCTGAGGATCGGATCATGCATGCGCCATTTTTTACTTACTGCGACTGTTAATATGGCAAAATGCACTGCTGCCATCTAGTGATACATTTTTGTAAAGTACAGCAAAACCTACAAATAAATACAGTATATAAATATATATATTTATATTTTGGGGGGTGGGAGAAATACAAAATAAAATGCTTGTTTCAGTTTTAAGCTGCTGATATTCCTTATTGTATGTTGTCAGTTGAGGAAATTGTGCAGTTCTGGTACAAAAGATGAGTAATATAAACTGAAATCTGTAATTTTAAGGGCTTAACCTACGATTCTAATAAGTTGGAATAGTCCACTGAATGGCATAATGAATTTCAGTATATATGTATGATTGCTTTTTAAGTGATTATTTTTCCGTTTGCTGAATCATGTAAATTCTTCTATCTTTTTGCACTGATCTGTTGAACCTTATTGTACATTTAATTAAGGCAAACTTTTATAATTTATCTTTAGTTTTCAGTGACCTTGAAATATTCTAGCATGGTATTCTATGCAACTAGTTATACTTTGGGGTTAACACTGTATTTTTTCACATTGATTTAATGGTTGAGTGTAGATTTTTCTCACTCAATAGGGTTCTCTCACTCAGTATGTAACCGTAGATGCATGTACTCATGTTTTGTGTAATTGTTGATGTGCAATGATGTATAGAAAAGTGGATTCACCGGTTTTTAAAAATAAAACATTGATAAAAGATGTTTGGAATAATAGTCTTTATTCTAGTCTTAAGGAGGAAGCATTTTTCAATGCTTTCAAGTTTCTTAGTTCTATATGTACACGGAGTGTTAATTTCTCAACCCTGTCAGTTTTTTTAGTTCCTTTTCTACCTCTTCCACAAATGCTGGGAAATTCTGATCCATGAGGCAGAAACGGAGAAAGGAGCCTAACTCTTCAGCATTCCACGCAGATTGTTTGTGGACAAGGGGCAGTTCCTCTGACGCCAGGAGAGACTATGGGGATTCCAGAAGAGTGGTTTATTAGAGATTACAGGCGAAAGCAACAGCGTGAATAACAGAAAAACTGCCTTAAGGAAAGATTAGGGAAATACACACCAAAAATGAGTGTTAATTATAATTAGCTTTACAGGGTTCCTTTACTTAACGTTTCTTAATATACATAAGAAGTGAGATAAACTTGTATCCTTAGCTATATGAAGTATATTAATGACATGATTTGCAAATTTAAGACCCTGTTTTAATAAAGAATACTGTGCTGATAACCTTTTGTGGATTGATAAGAAACCTATCAGTGAATGAACTCCACTAGCTTAATTTGTCATTCCCACCTCACTTTGGGGGAATGGGTGAGAGCAGTTCATTTGAAAACAGGTTCTGAAGGTAATAAAGAGCGGCCACAAACTGACCGTCCAAAAGCCCCATGTCTCTTTCTGGTCCTGACCACAAGGGTGGACAAACTCAGAAAGGCATATAACTATGAGGGCAGTCAAGACACAGAACATTTCCATTACCCCCCCCTCCCCCCGCCCCAAATCCCTTAGCCCCACCCCCCAGCAACCACTGATCTGTATTCTCCATACCTTAGATAAATGAAATCATATCATTTGAGCACTTCTTTATATGCCTGTTTTCCATCTGTATATCTTTTTTGGTAACTTGCAGTGTTTTAAAACCAGTTGAGTAAATAGGTTGCTAACATTTAAATTAGGAGAGTTTAAATAAAAGTCCGACTGTACTTGGCAGTTTAGAAGAGAGGGCACCACTGACCTGATGATGATGGCACCACCTTGGGGTCCACCTACATCTCCTTTCCTCCTCACACGGATTTTGTTAAGTAGGTGGTTTTATGCCTTTTCTATGGATGGGAAGGTTGGTGTGTATGCATCAGCTGACACTTCTCTAGGAACTATCTCTAATAGAAATTTATTTTTCTAAATTGAAACTAGTTTGCAGACTACCTGACAGTAGTCTGAAAAATGAAAGTAACATGAAGACCTGTTCTCCAGGAAGAGCGACTGTTAGCATGTTA